CCATGGAATTATTTCCACCCTGTGGAAAGGGTGTTTTGAGTTGGGCTCCATGATCTTTGTGGGTCCCTTCCAACTCAGAATAGCCTGTGCATCTGTAAAATACAATGTGCACCACTGACATACCCTGAACACCTTTGGGATAAAGCTGTGAAATCAGGCCAGTCACATTGCTGAGCTTTGAACAAAGCATGCAGAAAAGAAATACTCTTGACAGGTTCAGCCAAGGTGTATTAAATCCAGCAAACTCTCCTCCCTCCCCTGCATGTTCCAGTGGTGCCCAGCCTGCAGCACTCCTGCACACTGTCCACGTAGGCTGGGACTGATGTCACAGGCGCTTCTGCACCTTCCTGGGACACCTGTGGTTCTCTACAACTACCTAAACCAGGGAGATGCTTTATGTTGTCAAAAGCAGGTGTTTTTAAATACATCTGAGAGAGGCTCCTCTCCAGTAAAAGGCTGTCTTTATCACTTTCCTTTCCTAAACTAAGCCAAAAACCTCCACTTGTACTACAAGAACAGAACCCTTTCTGTTAAAAAAGGTGAAACTGGTGATTCTTCTGCTTCCATCCTGAAGCCACCACTGTTGGGTGCTTGTTCACAGTAATGACTGAACAGCGGCTGCTCTTTTTTGGTGATAGTTTTTGTGCATTATCAGCTGTCACAGACATCTTAGGACGGTGATAAGTAAACTGAACATTTGTCTTTTGAGATAAATGTACAAGGATACAATGTTATCAACAAGGCCATCATCATAGCAAAACAAGTTAAATTCTCAAACCAAATAATTAAGAAAAAGAGAACAAAAGACAGAGGTCAGAATTATGTCATCAAATGTGAAAGTTGATTGCATATGACTTGAGGAACTCTATTAAAAATCAGCATTGGCATAATTATTTATTCAACTCTTCTTCTCTGGACTCTTGTGAAAATAAACCAAACCAACAGAGAAAGCCCTAAAAAGATACTTGATTCGTACCTTCCGTGGTGTGTTTATCCAGGCCAGATGAGTAAAATGAGAGTCCACTGAAACAGCCACCACTTCACAGTTCACGTCACGAAATTCATTTGCTTTGTTGCTGAAAGCCACAATTTCAGTGGGGCAGACAAAGGTGCTGGTGGGAAGACAGATCAGGCTGTAATAATTCTGCTGTCTTCTCTAGAGAAGACTCTCATGTGTGTTTCTAGGCACAAATGCAGTAGAGTGTTTTCTTTAGACTGTTAATTTTAGCCATGTTCCCTGCTCAAGATTAGTTTCAGTCTCAAACCAACAGTCACAGCCACAGAGTTGGCACACCAGTTACCATCTCTGAATTTTAGACAAATACCTTACAAAGATGGAGAAACTGTCTTTGCTAGAGATTCTCTGGACAGAGTTTTTTGAAACTACAGCAGAAAGGTCTGCAGATTAAATCCTTCTCCATGTGCCCACATGCACTAGGATGCTCCTGGCAATTCAAATCTTCTGAGCAGACTGACCCCCCATCCTGTCATGGTTTTGCCATGTAGTTGCAGTTCTGCTTGCCCTGCTGCTTCAAGGACAGTCTCCAAGGCAGCTGCAAACTGCACGGCAATGCTCTTATCCCTGGGATGTGACTGTAACAAGAACCACAGCCAGCTCCTGATGCAGTCCCTGCAACTAAAAGATGCTTTTCAGCCACCCTATCCACTGCTTTGACACACAATGGCCATGTGCTTCCAATCTTATCACTCATGCTCTAGAAACAGGCACATCTCCTGTGCAAGACTGGTCTAAATCGGGCAAAACCAGAACGACCTGCAGCACTTGTGATGACCTTCAGCAGGGCAGAAGGCCCGTAGGCAAGGGGAGAAACCCGCACTCACAAGTCCAGGGGGTAGAAGAAGAGAACCAGGTATTTCCCCTTGAAATCATTTAGGCTCAGCTCCTTGAACTCTCCGTTAACCACGGCCGTTCCCTTGAAGGACGGGGCGTGCTGGGTCACCGCCGCGGCGAACCGCGAGGAGCCTGCGGAGGGGAGAAAGCAGAGCT